GGCATAGTCAAGGAGCTAGCCATACATCATCACTCACCAGCCACGAAGCTAATGTGCATGTTCATCAAGTCGGTTGATAATGTAAGGGGGGAAAAAAGAAGGAAATGGTGACACATTGACATGCTGACTCATTGTATATATCTAGACCACGTTGGCAAGTTTCATCCATCATCTGGTAAATTTCTCAGCCAGTTGGCGCCGCACTTTTACAAGCACCTCTCCCACTTTGTCCCAATCATCTCATCTCTGATTAAGTAAAAATGTTTGATGCACTTAGCATTTGGTTTAATCCCTGTTGAATGATTTGTTCAAAGAATAGGAAACGAAGCAAGTATTAGCTATTTTGATAGGGAAAAATGGGAGAGCAATTTTGAAAATCCCAATTTAGCAATCAACAAGAAAGACATATTATTCTTGACTTGATTGCTTTTCAATTATAGCTATTGTAATTATATGTTGCAGGTCGACCCAGATTCATGTTTCTTGAAAATAGATAAATTGGTATATATGCATATATATTTTCTTGTCTCCAAATAACTTTTTTTTTTTTTTTTGCATTTGTATTTGCATTGACTACCCTCAAACTTCCTTCTATATTTAATGAAACAAACTGTCCTAAGAATAAACTTAAGTTTTGCATTTAATTTTGTACAAGAAACTACAGTTATAATTAATTAGGTGATTACTAATACTCAAACCTCACTAGGTCCACGTCTATCTTGTTTGGTATTTACATAATAATAAGATTAATTTTTAAAATATAATTATGCAACATAATTTAAATTAAAGTAAATTATATACTTTGATAAGAAAAAATTGTTTCATATAAATCCCTTTTCAATGTATTTAACTACATATGAATAAAAAATAAATTAGTGCATTTAATGAAATTTGTTGAACAAGTATAGCATGTCAATTATCTTAATTATTTCTATAATTATTAAATATTATTAATATATAATGTATGATATATTGATAGAGTATTAAATTCTTAATTCGGATATATCATTATTCAATTTTTGTAATCCAAATACCAAAAAACACATATAATAATCACTACAGAGGACTAAATTTTTAGGGACTTCTTCACGTTTAGCAACATTTATAAACGTCATTAAAAGATTAACGATGTTTATCAAAAATGTTACTAAGAGTGTCGTCTATAACTACGTCAGGGAAAATAACGGTGTTTTTAGAAAAACGCCATTAACTTAGCCGCATTTTTATCATAAAATACCGTTAAATTTAGCAGCGTTTATAGTAAAAAATACCCTAAATTTAGTTGCATTTATAGTAAAAAAAACTGCTATATTTTAGCATTTAGCGACGTTTTTAGGCACAAACGTCACTAAATTAATAATTTTATTTTTTTATTTTTAAATATTGATTATTATCATTAAATAAAAAATATTAAAAGAAATAAAAATGAATTTAAATTCATAAACTGAATATTATAAATACATAATTTGTTTCAATATGGATGGAACACAAAGTTTAATACATGTAACAACATTCAAATTATTTTAATACATTAACTAAAAATCTAAAATGAACAGAGATATCATCAACAAAAAATTTATATAAATTTTAATCGAATATTCATACATCTAGAAACTTACAGTGTAACAGAAGAAGATTAAGCATGTGGCAAATGCTTTACCTTGCAGTATTCACAGATGACCATAGATTTTTTTTTTTTGGTTCTCTACTGTTGTTGATGGTTTTCATGCATAACGAATCATTTCAAGTAAGATTAAGTCGTTTCATCAAATATCATAATCTGAAAAAACAAACAAAATAAATGCCAAGATGAGATGAAAAAAAAACATAATAGACTATTCCAGAATGGTTTCCTAAGGATATCTTGAATGAATCAAAAATTCACGTTAACAAGTAACAATTTTTTAGTAATTTTAAAAATATTATGTTGAAAAAAAAAACTAAACCTAAAATTTCATTCATGTTTGTAACTAAATTCAACGTTCAATTTCAAGTTTTTAAGAGAAAAACCTTATTTTTTTTACTTTTTGTTCTATTTTGAATTTTTTTATCAACCAAATAAAACCAAACTCAAAATGGCAATAACAAAATAAATTGGTAAAAAAAAAAAAGAATGGCCAAACACTGAAAATTATCAATGTTAAAATATAGCTTACCAATGGAGTTAGAACGGCGGCAAAAAGGCAACAAATCAGATAAAAAATTAGGGATTTAACCCAACAAATCATATAAAAAGTTTAGGGATTTTACACAAAATACAAGACAGCTAACTTAAAATTTGTAAAAACGAAAGGAAAAAAAATAAAAATTGACCACAAAATAATTGAAACTTAGGTAGAAAATGAGAAGAATGCAACCTAAAATGAGCAAAAATGAAAAAAATGAGCAGGAGAAAGAAAAGCAAAAAAGGGATCTCACGGGTTTGAAATATAAAGAAAATTTAGCAACAGGAGAATCTAATTATTCAAGGTATTTTTTGTCAAAACACATTCAATAATCCCCTATAATTTTTTTTAAGATTATTTAAGGTATTTCTGACAAAAATATCTTCAATAATCCCCTTCAATTAAAATTTGGAGGGATTATTTAAGGTATTTTTTGGTCAAAAAACGTCTTTAATAATCTCCTCCAAAATTTTGAGAGTGATTATTCAAGACATTTTTTATTAGAAAATACATTTAATAATCTCTTACAAAAAATTGAATGGGGTTATTCAAGACGTCTCAAGCCAAAAACGCTGCCTTTAAAATCAAAAACGCTTTTAATAATCTCTTTCAATTTTTTTTTGGATTATTCAAGGTGTTTCTGATCAAAAACGCATTAAATAATTCCCTTTCATTTTTTTTTGGATTATTCAAGATGTTTTTTATCAAAAATATTTTCAGTAATCTCCTCTCATTTTTTAGAGGATTATTCGATAGGTTTTTGGCAAAAAATCTCTCCAATAATTTCATTCAATTAAAAATTAAAAATGATTATTCAACACGTTTTTAGCCAAAAACGCCTTCAATAATCCCCTCTAATTTTTTTTTGAAATTATTCAAGTAATTTTTGGGGCAAAAGAGCTTTGAATAATCTCCTTCTTTTTTTTTAGATTATTTAAGGTGTTTTCTGTCAAAACGCTTTTAATAATCTCCTCCCATTTTTTGGAAATTATTCAAGGCATTTTTAGTCATAAAACACTTTGAATAATCTTTACAAAAAATTAAATAAGGTTATTTAAGGCGTTTCTGCAAAAAACGCCTTAAATAATCCTCAATGGATTATTGAAGATTTTTTTACTAAAAAACACCTTGAATAATCTCTAAAAAAAATTAGAATAAATTATTGAAAATATTTTTGCCCAAAAATACTTTTAATAAAAATTGAAAAGGATTATTTAAGATATTTTTTACTAGAAACGTTTTCAATAATCTTAAAAAATACCTTATTTTTAGCAATATTTACATAAATACCATAAAATTTATAAAAATTAAAGCATATGTGACGTTCAGGTCAACAAATGTCACCAAAATATATTTTATAACAAAAGAAACCAATTAATAAGGATCACAAAATAAAATAAAATAAAAACCCATGACAATGCTCATACATATATATTATATAAATTTTATGAAAAAAACGAGGTCAATCAAGATGACTTGAGCTAGGTAACAAAAGTATTCGAAATAGTCAAAGCTCCAAATTTGACTCCATAGTAGACAAATGTAACTTGAATACCATTAAGCCAAATCCAATTGGCAAATCAAAACTTTTTTTATTTATAAAAAAGTCATAATCTAATAATAAAAAATTATAAATATTAAAATTTGAATTCTAAACATATTAAATATCACTTTTTATTTTTTATTTTTTGACAAAAGAAATTGTAAATATTTGTTGAATCGAAAAAAAAATTATAAATATTAAAATTTGAATCTTATATATGTTGAATGTCACATTTAGTGATTATATAAATCAATAAGAATTTAACTTTTTATTATAACTTCAAAATCAATTTTAAAAATGCCTTTGTTTAGGCTGGTAGTCAAACTATATAGTACATTGTTTTTTACTTTTGACAACCTTAATTTGCATTGTCAATGGTAAAAATTTCTTAAAAAAAAAAAATAATAATAATAAAAGATGACAAGATAATATGATGTTGACAACTATTTAACTTCCCATCTCTACGAACAAGCATTGCAATTTTATAGTTTTCCAAGCAATTGTCAATCAGTTTGAGTTCTACATATAAACTATGTATGAATTAGAATTATGCTAATAATTTATCTTGAAAATTAATCTTAAGTTAACAAAATGAATGTTAGCACTCCAAAAAAAAGTTAAGATGCAAATCTCACCGGTTTAAATGCTTTGTTTAATCATATTCATGGAAACAACTTCAACTGATGATAAACAAGGAGGCAAACAATGCACTATATCGAAAGTAAATTTCACTAATGTTCATTAAACTATTATCCAAATTTCATTTAAGTTATTGAATTTTAATTTATTATTATAAGGTCATTAAAGTTTATTAAATGTGCCAAAATTTAATCATCTTAACAAATTTCATCCAAAGACTAATAAAAAAAATAACATGGTTATCATATCATAAATTATATCATCAACCACATTAATTAATTAGATTTATTTAATTTCATGAAAGATTATTAAATTATCACTTAATTCGCAAATAGGTTATTAAAAATTAATTTATTACTATAAAATTACTAAAATTTATTAAGTATACCAGTATGAACCCTATAGTTGAAATATAAACAAATCTCTTTATCTTTCTCTTCTCCCCGAGTGCAAAGCAATTTCTGACCCCAAACGCAGTTTGAAACTGTGAATGCGGTGGAAAGGAAAGTTCACAACATTAAGACTTCATTTGGTTGATTTTTTTTTTAATTTTTAACGAAAAAAGATAGAAAAAGTTTTAAACAAGAAACAAATAAAACCTAAATAATAAAAAAGTAAGTGGCAATATAAATCAATATAAATGTATTTATATCTCCTGCTTGCTCATTTGCCTACTGGAATTGCAATCCAAAAAAAAAACAAGAACTCTGCGAAGAGAAGTTGAGAAGAAACAACCTTGAGACAGAACAAATCCTTTTCCTTAACCTTCACGCCTCCATTAACACCTCTTCCCTTCGTTTTCTCTCTCTCTCTCTTACAGGTAAAATTAATTACTACTTACAATTTTTTTTGCACTTCCGATATTTTCTCTTCCCACCTCTCACTTCTCATAAAAACCTTCTATTTCTCTTGCTTTTCTCTGCATTGAAATCCCTCAGTTCTCACCCCCCCATGTCTTGTTTTTTTCTTCCCACTGACTCCTGCTTTTCTTTCTCTCTCCTGAGTCCTAGGTGCTTTTCCTTCCTCCCTCTTTAAAACTCCTCCTCTTCCACATAAGATTTTTCTCAGGTAGCAAAAAAAAAAAAGTGAGAAAACAGGGGGGAAAGAAAACAGAGCTTTACAGAGTGAAAAGAACAGGGGAACTAAAAAGAAACTACAGAGGTTTTTCGCTGTTTCTTTTTAAGCTTTCTTTCACTATCTTTCTTTCTTTTTTTTTTGGTTCTCTTCTTCTTTTCCAATATCGTTCTTTTTCTTGTATTGTCTAAACATGGGTTATTGTAAGGATCAAGAAGAACATCATCAGAATGAAGCAAAGTGTTTTTGGTTCATGGGCCTATCATTGTAGGTGCAGGACCATCTGGTCTTGCAACATCAGCTTGTCTTACTCAGCAAGGTGTGCCTTCTCTTATTCTTGAGAAAAGTGACTGCATAGCATCTCTATGGCAGCATCGAACTTATGATCGTCTCAAACTCCATCTTCCCAAACAGTTTTGTGAATTACCACTCCTTGGTTTCCCTTGTAATTTCCCAAAGTACCCGACCAAGCACCAGTTTATCTCTTACATGGAATCCTATGCTTCACATTTCTCAATCCACCCTACGTTCAAGCAAGCTGTGCAAAGTGCAGAGTTTGATTATGTTCTGCGGTTTTGGAGGGTTAAAACTCAAGACTGTGAGTACATTTCAAGGTGGCTTATTGTTGCTACCGGTGAAAATGCTGAACCTATAATACCTGATATATCTGGGATTGACAAGTTCAAGGGTCCTGTTGTTCATACCAGTTTGTACGAGTCTGGTTCTGAGTTTAAAAACCAAAAGGTTTTGGTTATTGGATGTGGCAATTCTGGCATGGAAGTCAGCTTGGACCTTTGTCGATACAATGCAATCCCTCATATGGTTGTTAGAAACACAGTATGTTCATTTAATTTTATATCAGGCTCCTTTAACTCCTCTTTTAAATTTGCAGTGTTAGGCTTTTGACTTTTTAATCATCTGGACTTCAATGTAAAGATATTCTAATTTATACTTTGAATCTTTTTTCATTGTTGCTCATATCTTTGTCTGTTTGATTTTTTCACAGGTGCATGTATTACCTAGGGAGATGTTTGGTTTCTCAACATTTGGTATAGCCACGGCACTTCTAAAATGGTTCCCTTTAAGGCTAGTTGATAAATTCCTGTTGCTGGTAGCCAACTTCACCTTAGGCAACACAGAAAAAATAGGTCTTCGGCGGCCAAAAACTGGTCCAATTGAGCTCAAGAATGTCACCGGAAAGACTCCGGTGCTCGATGTTGGTGCATTATCACGGATAAAATCTGGTAAAATTAAGGTAATCCCAAGTAACCAAATAGACAACCTCATGTTCAATCAATCACATATGTTCGGGCTTTGCTATAAACCCTTTGTTTTTTCAATATCGTTAGTTGATGTTGTTAGGTATTTCAGGTGATGGAAGGTGTGAAAGAGATAACAAGAAATGGAGCAAAGTTTGTGGACGGACAAGAAAAGGAGATCGATTCAATAATCTTGGCAACTGGGTACAAAAGCAATGTGCCTACTTGGCTCAAGGTAAGAAGCAATGAGCTGTTACAGTTTCATTAGTTTTTAGTTCTATCTTATTATGAATCACACATCACTTTCTGCCTTTGGACACATTGCATTGAGGCCACAAGTCCACAAATCTCTTCTTTTTTATCTCCATGCAAAAAAGCACAAAATCAGTTAACCTCTGTTTGGGGGGTCATTCCACTTTTTTCTTAAAAATATATAATATAATAAGTCTAAACCTTAATTTAACTGATTCATGTCATCACTCGTAAAAGATAGCATCTAACGTATTTGGATTTATTAGCAAAAAGAATCTGAATTCGAATCTCAATATATGCCATCCATTTTCATTATTCTCAGCTACGATCTCTTGGGAAAAATATATATAATACAAATATCCAATTCTTTTATTAGGGTTTAGGGGGGAAAATCAAATTCTCTGTGGGGTTGATGATGTGTAACTATCATGAAGTACTGTGTTTTTTTAGGATTCATTTGCCTAAACCAAGGGAAAAAGCCTAGAAAATTCCCTGAATGGCCTTTTTCTAGAAAAGAGATCAATTCAGAACATGGGTTCTGGATGTTATGATTTTTTTCCTAGCATTTTCTACTCTTTTTTCGTCAATTCTTTTGGTCCCAATTATTGATTAGTTATTTTAAAAAAAAAAGAGTTGATTTTGTTAGTAGTTGAAGTAACTTTTTTGCCCTTATTTGAAATGTAGGGATGTGATTTTTTCACCAAAGATGGCATGCCTAAAACGCCGTTTCCTAACGGATGGAAAGCAGAGAAGGGATTGTACACAGTTGGGTTTACAAGAAGAGGGCTCCTCGGAACGGCTTCTGACGCCGTTAAGATTGCTAAGGACATTGCTGAACAATGGAGGACAATCAAAGACTGTAACGACATTAGCAGCTGTAATTCTCATGTTATCCTTCTCAAGGAAATGTGAGTCAGTTAAAAAAAATATAAATGTGAATTTACCGTGGGTGACTTTTTCCTGGATGGGTTTTTTAGGCCCTCTTTTTAGAATATTGTAAATGCACCAATTTTGTTATGAGGGATTTTGCATCCATCCTTTTACCTCTTATGAGTTGTTATGATAATGTAAGTTTGATAAACTTGTAGAAAATAATTTCATAAATGGAATGTGCTTTCCTTTTAATATTTATTGAGAAAGTTGTCTTTGAAATTGTAATTTTGTTGTGATTTTGGTACCCCATGCATGTATAAATAGAACAAAAAAAAAAAGTTTTATGCCCTTCCCTTTTGGAAAAGTACCCATCAAACATTCTCTAGTCAAGTAGTCAAGGGCCTAGGAGAAACTTGTAAAATTGGATGCAAAAATCGTATGGAAAGAACAAGGATCATATGATAGATACAAATGATAGATACAAGTTTGTTTAAGAACATATGGAAGAAATTTTAACCCTTTTTTTATCTAAAAATATTTTGTTGTCATTATTATTTCACAAATCTTATTTATAATTTGTTTGGATATCCCTCGTGACGAAATTCACATATATAGCAAAGATGTTAATGGCATCACGAAGAACGGAAATTAAAAATTTTTAAAAAAATTTTGGATATTTTTAAAATTTTTTTAAATATTTTTTCGTAAACAAATTTAATAAATTTATTGATAATTTTTTATATATTATAGGTTAATATTTAAAAAAAAAAATTAATCTATCACTATCTAAGAGGAACGATTCCTATCATATTAAAGAACTTAAATCGTATTGAGCAGATTTTCTACCCACATTCAAACGATTTCTTTAATGTATTTTAAATTTTAAAACTCAAAAATTTATAAATAAAAACAATTTGAAAATAGCCCTTTATTATACGCATCTTATTCTAGTACGAGTATCATCAATAACATGTTCATATATATATATATATATATATTGTAAAAAAAAAATAGAGATAAATTATTCAATTTTTTAAATTAAAATAAAATATATCATATTTAATAATTTAAAATAAATAATTATAAATTTTATATTCAAAATAATTTTAATAAATAAATATCGATAAAATTTAAATTTAAAATTTATTTATCAAAAAAAATAATTTTATCTGATTAAACTAATCACTTTTAATATAACATATCCATATATATTTGCAAGGAATTGAAACAATCAAAAAGCCTTGTTTTTTTTCTTGGATAAAAAAAAAACCTTTTTGCGTGTGTATGGAGTTTATTCCATCAAGTACATATGGATGTTAAAAAGCATGCGAAGAAAGTGGAAGGCAGGAAAAGTTCTGTCTAAACCTATTAGTATTAATTTATTGTAGAACCTAAAAATGCCTTATTAATTAGATGTAAAGGATTGACCGACTTTCTTGCTTTAGCTTTAACTACATTAGGCCTTAGATGGTGCCCTTCATTATTAGTAGGAGTAGTTATTGAGATTGATTGTTTGAGTATTGGTTTTATTTTTTCCCTCCGTCAAAAAGCTACCATCAAAGTTAACTTTTTCAAATGTTTTCTTGCAAAAGTATGCATAGGATCTTTATTGATTTAGGGTCTTATCTAAAAAGATTTTCATAGCTGTCATAGTTAAATTTTATGATTTAAAAATGTTAATTTTATTTATATTTGATAAAATTTTTAAATTTTTTATCTAAATAAAATAAAGATATATATTAAAATTTAAAAATAGTAATAAGAATGAATATAATTTTAAATTTTTTTATCAAGTATAAAGACAAAAATTATTAATATAGTACTTGTATCATATTTTATATATTTATATATATTTAGTAAATAAAATTTTTATTAAATAATATAAATTATTATTTTAAATTAATTAAAACTAATATATTTTTATTGTTAAAATATATATTAATATATATTTATAAAAAATTACATAAATATGAAAAATTAAAATTAAAAAGCAAAAATTAAAATTTTTGTTTTAATTTTTTGAAAAAAGTTACAAGTATGAAAATTAGTCATACCCCTTAAATATCTAAAAAAATAAATATCAATATGAATTTAAAATACTTATTAAATATAATATAAAATTTTGATAAAGCAATAAAAAATATCTACTTATCTCATATCCTACACATTAATATATTATAACCAAAATTATGAAGATTAGTGAATAAAATGATATGCATGACACAATCAAAATTTTCACACCGCACATTCAAACGAATTTGAACTCTTAATTTAATTTATATAATTTAATTTATTATAGCTACATTTGTGATAAAATTTCAAATTTTTTTAAGCAATTATAATGAAAAAAAAAACTAATTATTTTAACTTTTTTTTTTTTAAATTCAAACAAATTCATTCAAGACAAATTAAAAGACGTATACTTTTTCTCACATGCACCTACGTTTCCAATTTTGTTTTGAACTCCCTACTACGTTGGTCTACCTCTATATATATATATATATATATATAGACTTCAACTATCTTAATGCTATGACATTCAAAAACCATTTGGTTTTCTTTTCTAACCTCTCTCTACTTCATCTCATTGAGGTTTGAATTCTATCTCTCTCTTGAACCATATAAACCAAAAGTCTTAAAACACAAAAAGAAAAAAGAAAAAAGAAAAAAACCCTCTCTATCATTCTCTAAAATTCACTATTAACCATTGACAATCTAATTGGGAAATGAAAATTCAAGATGAAAGTCAAAGGTTTTGGCTTAGAGATATTACAGTATGGGGTTGTTGCATTTAGATCTCCTATTCAAGTTAAATTTCTCTCAATTTTGTAGAGATCTTTAAAAAAAAGATAAAACCATAAGATTTTTTTTTGTTCATTGCATAAAATATATATGTTTTTGTTTAAAATATAAACGTATTTATATATTATTGCTTTTTGTTAGAAAATGCTTTTTTATTTTTTTAGTACAAAAGAAATGAAAGATACCACTTATAATCTTAAGAGCTTAGATCTTACAACCCCTAACATATTGGCTTTGAAATATATAGAAATAATAAGTATAATAAAGGATTTTTTTTTAATTTTATGATTTAAAATATAAAAAAAATTATCCAATCCACAAATCCTAAAACTTTTAAACGGCATTAGATGGGCTTAGATAATTAGGACATGTTCAATTAAATTGCAAATAAAGAAATCATTATATATAATTAACTAGTTTTTTTAACTGGTCCCATGCACAGAGTTTTTTATTGTATTTTTTGTAATTTAAAATTTTAATTTATACTAATTTTTATATTATATATAGGTAAATAAAAAATCCATAATCATCTATAATTTGTAGTTTAAAATTACAAAAATCATCTATATATAAATTATTATTAAAGAATCTAAATAAACATTATGAAAGCTTTAAAATATGAAAGTAAAATTATATACAAATCTTAATGAGAAAGTTAATCTCTTGTTCACAATTACATACATTTTTTAAAGTATATATTATTTTAATATAAAAATTAAGATATACACATGTGATATATCATGAAAGACTTTTTCATATTTAATTTTAAAACTTTATTATGTTAAACTTTTGTGATGAAAATCTGATTGCTCTATTTGTATAAGGAAGGAAATATTGATTGTGATAAGAAATCATGAATATATATTTGATAATTATTTAATTTATAATTTTTTAAATTTTTAAAAATGTAGTTTATCCAAATTAAATTTTAAATTAAGATAAAAGAGGTTAGTATAATTTTAAATTTATATATGTGTATAATTTTAAATTAAGATAAAATATCTTTTTTATTTATTTTAAATTATAGAAAATTAAAGGTAAAAAAATTAGTAAATAATAGTGGTTCAACCTCAAATTTTATTTATTTAAATTTATGTGAATATTGATTTAAATTGTGTATAATTTTTTACGATTCATAAAATTTAGGAATTTAACATTTAAAAATGATTTGAATTGGATAAGAGTGAGTATGAGATATATCTTATTAGATTTAAATTAAGATAAATCTTATGTACTTTGAAAGACTGATAAATGTAAATTTTGAAACTTTAAAATTTTTAAAAATTTAATAATTGATTGAATAAAGTTATTTAAAACTATTATACAAGTCAATAATATAAGTTGTCAATCTAAGTGTCAACGTAAGTAAATCTTATCATATTTCTATATATGATGTAATATAATATTATATATGATACATAATTAAATGAATTCTTAGTTCAATAATATTGAAAGGGAATTAAAATTAAAAGTTTTGAATTATAATTGTAGCTTAAAAGATAAAAAAAATATTATAAATTTTGCTTTTTTTTAAATCTACCATCATATATAAATATATATATATATATATATATTACAATATACATAATTACTGGATAACAACTACTGACGTGAACGCTTAGGTGGACAGTTTATTTTTTTGACACGTAAAATAATTTTTAAAACTATATATTATGACAACACATAATATATTTATTAATTTTAAATTATTTATAAAAAATATATTTTAAAATTTATTAAATTATCTAAATTTTTAAATTTTATTCAAAAGCCAATTTAAATTTAATGAAATTTCTTTATCTTGTACATCACTTCATTTTAATTTAAAATCAAATTTAAAGTAATTTATCTTTTATAATTTATCTGTAGTTAACATGAATATTTAAATTTATCACCAATTTAAAAAATGTTATTTAATATCTTTAATATTTTTTATCAATAAGCCTTATATTATCTTCAGTTTTTAAATATATTTCACAATTGAAATGTGAAAAATATATATATAAATACAACAACAACTTAAGAAAAAAATTTTCTGTACATCTAGTTTTTTCGGTACATTACCTCATCTCAATTTAAAACTAATTTTAAAATAATTTATTTTTTTAATTTATTTATAGTTAATATGAGTATTTAAATTTATCACAACTTTTAAAAATATTATTTAATATCTTTAATATTTTTTATAAATAATCATTGTATTATCTTTAACTTTTAAATATATTTCACAAAAAAAATGAAAAAAATATAAACACCAGAACAACTTCAAGAAAACCCTAATTGTTGGTAATTCTTAGTTATATAGCTTCCCCAATATCCTACTGAGCTAAATGTATTTTTTTCTTACTATTAATTTGGTCTATCTTTTTATTAGTCTATTATTACTATAAGAACTAACATGCCTTTTTTTATGATAAGTATTATTCACTCCCT